AAAGATTAGTTTGCAGAGTAATTAGATCGTAGTGAAAGATTAGTTCACATCTAATTACTCTGCAAACTAATCTTTCACTGTGAACTAATCATTCATTGCAAACGAATCATTCTCTGTGAACTAATCTTTCGCTGTGAACTTATCTTTCGCCGTGAATTAATCATTCTCTGTGAACTAATCTTTCGCCGTGAACTAATCTTTTGCTGTGAACTAATCTTTTGTTGTGAACAAATCATTCTCTGTGAAGTAATCTTTCGCCGTGAACTATTCTTTTGGTGTGAACAAATCTTTCGCCGTGAACTAATCTTTCGCCGTGAACTAATCATTTGCTGTGAACGAATCTTTCGCCTCGTTCTCGCAGATTCGTTTCATTTGTCACGTGAAAGAGCTCAAGTCTTTTTTGCTCTCATTCATCTTCACATTGTGGTGTGTTTTTATATTTCTTAGCTTTTCACATGGTTTTAAATACTTATGGTATTTTGTGTACATTGTAGACTTTGTAGAAGCCAGATGAGAGGCTGTAAGATTACTAGGTGGGAGATAAACTGTCTCCCCTCACACACACGCACACATGCACAAAAGTGTACCTCCACAAGCAACCATCTTTGTTTTCCAAAATCTGTTTAATAACAGTTTATGTGAAGAAATTAATGTGTTCCACACATTCAGTTGATACTCAGTGATTTTCCTTGATTACCGTAAGCAATAAAACAAAGCTTTTAATACCAACGTTCTACCCAATACAGACAGCACTGCATTGTAAGTCCAGGGTCGGAGCGGCCATTTCTAAGGTTCATACAGAAAACCTGCCTTAAACGTGTTCCTACATAACCTAACCATAGAATATTTGAATACAATTCATATTGGGGGGGACAGTGGTGACTTGGTGGTTAAGGAAGCGGACTTGGGTCCGGAAGGTTTTAGGTTCACAATGACAAATAATTCACTTTATTTCTTTCTTCTTATAAGTTAAAGAAATGTTACCAGTCATAAAAACAACGCATTAAACAACATTTTTCTTAGTTTCCTTATTTCTGGCACGTCTGTAACACTGATGCACACTCCAGTCCATTAGATGGCAGTAAAGCTGTTAATTTGTTTGCCAGCTTCGAAGAAAATACGTTGAGTGACAATAAATAATAAACTAATAATAAAAGTGAACAGATTAAGCCCGCGGGCCACCAGTTAATAATCACTGCCATAAGCTTTAGCAGGTGGATTTTGAAGTTTGATTTTGGTATGAACACATCATTGAAACACAAACAACTAATTTAAAATTTTATAACCAGACAGACAGCAATGACTGCACACTGTAGTGAAGCAGAGGGAACATTCTTATGGATGTGCTGAGCACAGCTGTGCAGTGGGAGAATGAATGAATGTTCTCAGCAGCTCGGAGTGGAACGAGCTGAAATGATCCACAACGCTCACGTTTTGCCTAATTTGGTTTTAAACAATTTATTTTAAAAAAAATATTTTACATTTAGTTTATGATATAAACATATTTGTTTTTTAGTTCTTCACTTCAATTTTGTAACACAGGTGAAAACTGCCCTACACTGTGGATCATAAAAGTTGTGTTTACTCAAAATTCTTCCAAAAAAACATCTCTTAGCCTTGGTCATTTGTAAATCCTGAAACCAAGCACAGTTTGGTGTCAATGCAACACTGTCCCATTGGAGTCGTTGCTAAGAGAAAAGGTGGGAGAGTGGGTAGGTAGGGCTGAGACTCAGGACCAAGTGAAAGCAAAGAGGGGTGAGAGCAGGCACAAAAAGAGGGTCTAGAAATGAAAATCCCATTGTTCAAACACCATTTCAGAGCTGTGTGTGCTCTGGCCAAGAGCTACGGGCACACAAAGAAGACTTTGTCCCAGCAGCAGAGGCTCATGGGATAGGGGACAGAGGAAGAATACCCGCTGCCCAGTAGAGAACCTTGGTGTGACTGCCACTGAAGGCCTGTTTAGTCCCTCTCTAGACATCCATCCTACACAAATACCTCCCATCCCCTCTGACCTTTCTGAATATAATCTGCACAGTAAACACTGACATGGGATGGAGTGGCACTCTTATTGTTTATGAATGTACACGTGGGGTAAATGTAACCCAGTGTCACCTCATTTAAAGTCAGGAAAGACTGGGACTCAGGAACTGTTTGTTTTTATTTTTTGTGACTCTGCGCACGACCAGCACACAGGCAGCAGTCAGGATTTAGTTGAATGCAGAGCAACACTGAGGGTGAATGATATTCCGTTAGTTACTATCTGATAAAAATGCAATGAAATATTAACTACAACATAATTTATCTAATTCACCCTCCTGTTTTTATTTTTCCAACAGACACAGAGCTTTAACAGAGCATTTGAACAATAATAAAATATGAATTAGTCAGTGTAAATTTGTGTATTTTGTAACTGATACTGTCATAAAAGTCTTTCTATGATTTTTTTAATTACATCCCTAAGGATTTAATTTAACCCGCTATTGAACTTTACTTACTCTGGAGTGAGCAGAGTTTGGCAGAATACAGCAGCTGTACTTTAAGGCACATCTCACGTCACAGCCACACCAAGAACATGGTTTCACGCCGACCAACAATTACTTGGCTGCGTCAAAACCGGGTGATCGCTCAGCAAACATCAAAGTCTACTTTTCCAACATCCATAGGACACGAGTACTGTGGGGTCTTCTACCCTGAGAGGTGAAACTTCTTCAAGAAACCTACTCCGTTCAGTTGCCCTCGATGTAACTATTTTTGGATGATATGATCATTGTTGATATAAAGTCAGACATAAAGAACTTACTGAGAGGTTTGAGAATGCTGGTGCTGGCCTCATCTGCGTTTTCTGTGTCCGACTTGTCAGAGGTGCTCTCTGTGAACCTCTCCTTTTTGTCCTTGTGACCTGTTCTTCGATGTTGACGCCTCCGACGTCGATAGCTTTTTGGCACACGCACGCCGATGTAAATGGTGTGGTGACCTGTATAACAAAAAAGAGCAGATGAGCTTCACATCACTGACAGCAGAGCTCTTAACTCTTTGATTTACCTCAATACCTTCAACTACTACGAATGAATCCATTGCATACTTCATGAATGTGCATAGAAACAGACAGTCACAATTGGCTTTTAATTTTACTTACCTTGAATCAGCGTATTTTAAAACTACAGTTCGTAAAGTATGATGTATAGAGATGAGTAAAATTCTATATTTCCTATCAGTTGTTATAGTTGCCCCGAAAATGATACAAAAACAGTTACAACATTTATCCCATCATCTGAGTTTCTCACATGGCACAGAACTGATCCAAGACGGTGTAACAGAGGAGGGCTAGAGGTTTCTGTACACTGACAAAACATATTATATTACATACATACAAATACATACAAATATTTGAACAGATAGAGTAGCATGTAGCAGTGAAGACGCCACGACTACCTGCATGTCTGCATCCTTACTCATGCTGGAACCATACCAACAAAGCGATGTGTGGTTTTACATGTAGTCGTTTGTTTGAGGGTTAAACAACGAGACCAAACTTTGCTCTAATGACACAGACTTCACGCCAGCATCCAACATATGCTGGTGATTTGTCTGGTGCTTAGGTTGATTCAGCACATTTAAGATAGGCGACCAAAACGATCCACAATGTGCCTGCCTTTTACCAAGAGCCAGCTGGGATGAAGGCCAGTTCCCCTGAATCCTATGAAGGTCACAGGGATAACTACAGCCCGCCCTGACTGACATCAGCGAGGGCCACATATGGAGACGCAAAACCGCTCACAGTCCCATTCACACCTATGGTCGGTTTAGCGTGAACCACCTGTGTGTGTACTGTAGTAGCCAGGGTGATCAACACACAGAAAACATGCAAACTCCGTTTAACAAAATAAATGACCAGATGTCTGCAACCTGTGACTCCTGAGCTACGTACATGTGACTCTTCAGCCTCTTTTCATTGGCTCCATGCAGGATTATATTATATTTAATATTTGTATGACTACAGTATTTAAAACATAATACACTACACTGTCCACCTTATTTAAACAGCTGAAATGTTTTTGTGGCCTTAGTTTTATCGGAGCAGGCCGAGAACCACTGAGCCAGGCACAATAGCAGTTATTATTCACTTGTACCACAATGGCTTTTGGATGGATTTTTTCAGTGTGACTGGCATCAGATAGGAGGGAGATCCAAACAGATCTGAAAGACAATGGCTTTTAAAACAAAATAATGTGTAATGTGTGAATTTACAGTGTGCTGTCTGACACCATCTGACACCTGAATCCAACTGTTTACGTGATTTTAGCTGGAGGATTTTTCTTTTTAATTTTGACCAATCAATTTATTTTTAGACCCCAGTTTTTTCAAATTGCTTGTTTCAGTTAATGTCTGTGTTTCAACCTCCATATATGGATTATGCAGATAATACATGGATGGATGGATGGTGGGTGGATATTTACCATAGTAAGACACATATCTATGTTATTTTGAAGCTATCACCTGTATTATGATTATATATAGTACAATGAACGACAGGTCCGATAATTGACCAGGTGTTTTTTTCAGTGTCAGCTCCCCTTTCAGGAAAGACAGATTAAAACGTGAGGAGGAATGAAAAACACAATGGAAAAATATTAAGGAGGAAATATTAAATAGTAGGACTATCACTAATTAATACACACACACCAGCATCACCGGGCACTCCTCATTCAGCTTTTGCTTCAACAAGTCTGCCACCTGTTTTTCATGTTTATGCAATAACATGAAAACACAAAATCTACTCTGAAAAAAACGATGAATTTAAAAAATGTTAAACAGTAGCTAGTTAGTTTCAGGTTTTTCTTTCCTAAAACATCACGTTATCTAGGTAAATTACACTCCAGCATCAGTGGTGCAAATTTATCTGAATGTCAACAACAACAAAAAAAGCTGGAGCAGCACCAACTTTATGGCAATGAAACTTTAAACTCTCTGCAGCTCCACTAAAGAATAAGATGTAGGAGACAGATAGCTGGAGCAACAATAGAGAAGTCTGTAGACTAAGATGGACAGAAAGAGATTAAGATCACGGTGCCATCCCAGGTGACAAATGAGCAGTAAAGCAGACCTGGGCAAAGGAAGATTTGCACGCTGCCAAAGCTTTGTTAAAGGACTTCCTCTTGGTGCTGCTTAAAACACTCTCAATAAAATCAGATGCTTCTATTTGTTGGGAAGTTTGTTTCCCTCGCAGGATTTCTAAGGAGATGCATCGCCACCACAAGTTACCACAGTAACTTCTGCACTGGGGCAAGCCCAGTGGGAAGAATGGCAACACACCATGCTACACTATTAGCATGCTAATACTACACAGGCTGAAGTTTTATTGACTAATTAAGAAAGTGAATTGGGAGGGGTATTTGTTGTTAGTTGTTTTTAAAGATGTGGACAGTACAGAGGGAGACACATCTGGAAGACTGGGACACATGCAGAGACGGTTGACATGTTAGTTACACTGAGGGAGTTTAACAGGGCAGAGTTCAAAGTGAAGTCACACCTGACAAAATGTTGACTATCAGCATGAAGGACACTGCAGAGAAAATTATTTTCTGCTGACTCTGAGTCTTAAAGGGTCGTGCTGCATAATCCTAACTCGTAATAACTCATAATCTAATAAAAAATCTGACATTATAGCGAGATGCCATATTGAGTGCTATAAAATCATTGTAGCACTCACATCGGGTGGGCAGGGGGCAGTATGTGGTTTTAGTGAAACCATATACCTAATGGTGCCCCCCATGTGGCGAACACTCACACTTTGAATGTCCCTATTTTAGTTTATATAAGGGACTCAATTATTGTTGTGAATTATTTATATTTTCTGTCTGTCCCATAGAGGATGAGTTTCTTCATTCAAGTGTTTAAAATCAGTTTCAGAGCAGGTTTGATATGGGGCAGAGCTGGACAATACTCTCTACAAAAAGGGGGTGCTAAAGAAACGTTTGATCCAGTAGTCTTAGTGTTGGATAGCAGCAGAATGTAAGATTGCTCGCTTTATTAGCTGCACTTTGTATATGAAAAACAACAGAATGTTACAGAAAAATAATTATTTGTCTGCCGAGTCTGCAGGTCTTTGTGGAGATTAGTGAGGTAAACACAGGATCACAAATGTTGTGTTCCACAGCTCTCTCGTTCAAGGTCATTAAATAGGAATGTATTTATGTGCCGTACAAGGAAAGTATTTTTATTGACAATGTATAGAAGAAGAAGAAGTCATTGCTATATTATTATATTTTTAAAGCTGGATCTGATTAGAGTCAAGAAGATGAAAACTTACCCTCGACTTCCTCCTTGTCACACTTGTGCTACAGTAAGGACGCACCGCGGTCCAGCACCGCCTCGTCCTCCATCCTGTAGTAGTAAAAGAGGAAAAAAGACTGCTCACACTTTTCCTCCAGCAACAGTGTAGATCCATACCGCTTTGGTTCGTTCACCTGCAGTAACTTCTGACTGGGATTCAGTCTTGTGCTGCTGGTGCCACTCATCTCCTTCCAAGACAATTCATTGAAACACAACTTGCGATGCTATCCAAACATCTGAAGCTAATAAATGCCCAATCTCTACATGTGATGATGTCGACCTCAAGGAGGGCAGAGTGTGTGGCCAATGACTACAATGTTGAGGATTTAATCAGTTAGAGAAGGCTGAGAAGGTGAACAGGAAGTCTCTTCAGGTTGCGTAGGTGTCAGAGTGGCTGGAGCTGGTCAGGCACCAAATATATACTGTAAATATATATATATATATTTATACATTGATTGAAACTTAAATGTTTAAATTTTCAAAAACCTTCTTTCTTGTTATTTTGTCAAGTTGACCAAACCCTTAAAAAAATATATCAAAGTTGGTGTTCTGTCTTGTTAACCACACGCCCACACACACACACCACAAAGCCTCACCATCTGGCAGTTAATGTCACCCCTTCCCCCATCTCCAGCCCTTCACCAACCTCCTCCTGAGAAACAAGTGGGACATTACATGTCTGCCTACTCATCCGCACTTACAGGATTACACCAGCTTTACTTGAGTGACAACGCACACACACACACACACACACATACTCACACACAGGGGGCTGTTTCTTCCCAGCACATGTTTCAGGAGGGATGACAATATCAGCTACCTTCAAAATGTGCTTAATTCCCTGGCCAGTTGATGACTGGTTCAAGTCCCAACCAGAGAGGCACCTGCTGCATGTCTCTAAGTCTATTGCTTATAATAATTAATAAAGAAGGCAGATACATAATAAAAGCAGTGACATTATTATTATTATTATTATTATTATTATTATTATTATTATTACCCAGTAAATGTTTTACTAAATTATGGTTTAAGTCCCTAGTTTTAGTTTCAATTTAATTCTGAAAATCCTGAGTGACAGGTGGAGTCAGTCTGATCACAGGTGACGTTGTGTGTTTCAGATTTATATATAACATAATGTAATACTGAATACACTTATTCATATCACATATTGTGTAAGGGACACATGGTGGATGAGGTGGTTTGTACACTTCCCCAGTCGATCCCCAGTCTTTCTGTATGGAGTTCATACATTCTCCTCCTGTGTGTGTGTGTTGAAATTCTCAGGTACTGTAGTTTCATCACATAGTATTACTCCTTTTTTTTACGTCACATTAATCTGAGGCAGGTCTACCCGAATTAACTGTGCATGCGTACATCGGCCGGTAGCACAAATTTATAGCGTTGTCTGAAGTTTTTTCCTACCCGTAGCGGAAATTTATAGCCATATCTGTTCAGGGTGGTAAAATATTATTATACACTCAAATCTAACAAAGATTTTCACTCTGTAACTAATGCTATTATCTTCGTCTGTGGTATATATTTCAATGGTCCAAAGACTAGAAAATTCAACATGGTATTTAAATCACAATGACAAAATCCATCTGTTATAGCCGTGTTATTCACTGTTAAATAATACACGTCTTCCTCTTTAGTTGTAATGTTGGTGTGTGTTGTGTGAATGGGTTGAATGGGTTTGTTGATGCATGTGGTTGATAAGGAGGCGGCAATGGAGCTGATGGATTCGAGTCAGAAGTAGTCAAAGTTGAATTTGTCGGCAATGTCGTATAAAGTCCACTAGATGGCGGCATTTTCCCACAAAATACAGGCGCGGCGGGGGAAGTCACATCAGCTGCTGTGTCCTCCCCCTTTTTAGATCCCACCCCCTCGGTGTGCACGGCGGCACTTCCTCTATTTTGCCAGTGTTGAACTGCGCCATCCATGCAGCAGGATCGGGCGTCACAACGCAGTTTCTTCAAAGTCTCCAGACTCCGCAGCGTCTTTCGCCCAGACGGAGTCAATTTACTCGGCTTTATTTCATCCAATTTTTTCAACACATGCACGTTCAACGTTTCCCATCAAAAGTCGTCAGGTCCTTCTTCAAACCCATTTCAGGAAACCAACCTTAGATATAGAAGGTACACCAGAAGTCATCAACAAGGAGTCTACAATACCCATCTGGTCTGTGAAGGTACTGCACAAAGAAATTGTTTTAAAGTAACTGTTGTTAATATTTTTTCAGCCACTCTACTAAACTAGACCTACTTAGATTTAAAACATCATTTTATCCAACATAATACTTTAGTATATCAGCAGTAGTTTGGTCTATAAAAGGTTAAAGACCATTGTGTTGCTGTAAAACCTTCACGCAGTGTATCTCTGTAGTTTTCTGAGTACCCTACAACCAACACTGGACTTCTGTCTTCCTTCATTGCCACCTGTAGAACAACCAGGGTCTGGTCTGGATGGGTCTGGTCTGGTTCATGTTTTCACTCCTTATTGTTGCCATTTTACCTCAAATAAAAACCAAAGCCTTAGTAGTTGTCAGATTACAGTGGATTTAAAAAAACAATTAAACCTTGTCCTCTTCCCTTTGTTTTTTCCATTCTGTATTTTTGACTTTAATAATTGCACTGCAGAAAATATCAAAGCAAAATTTGCAAACACCTAAAAGAATAATAGTTTAATTGAACAAAATACTGGTAAAACAAATAATAGAAGGAATATTTGATATTGTATAACCTGTCTTACATACACAAAGGTTGGAGACATTAACTGGATTTTTCTGATACATTAGTGGCTGTCTTTGCTTTACAGATTACTAAAATATTTTATACATAAACTATATATACTTCAAGAGAAAACATTTCAAAGTAATTTCATTGCATTTACTTAGTTGCAGGACATGATTTTTTTTAAATGACTCTGGTATTTTTCCAGTGGTTTATTCCTAAACTCTGCCGTGTGTGTATTGACAAACTGATATTACAAGTTTTACGACCGAACACAATAGGCTGTTACTTTGCACTCATGATTATGAATTAGCAGCTATCAGTTTGTCCGCTCACAGATAACGTATCTGTGTCCTTGTAGGGTTGGACCTACAATCTGCCTGTAGACTGCGTACTCTATCAGTTGACAAAGAAGTGGTCTCTGAACCTGAGGCGATGCCACTGTTGACTGTGTCTGGATCACAGGAACAGCTTTCAGGCATCCAGACTGTGTTGTGGTACACAGTATCTGCCAGGTCGTCACATGAGATATACAGATATACACAGTGGTGTATCTAGATATACGCAGTGGTGTATCTACTGTCCTCGTTAATAATCTGATTTGGATGTCTGAAGACATTTGGCTTCAATGAAAAGAGGCCAAATGTCCTCAGACGTGGAGGGTACTAACAGGCATTTCTTCACATGGTTACAGAGCAGCTGGTATTTGTTTATTGACACCAGTTTGAGGTTTATGTCTGATAAATGAAGGAAGACCTTCCACTGCTTTCTGAGAGAAAATTATATCACATGAGAAGCAAGAGCAGGTTCTAAAGACCAGTAATGTAACCTCAAAACAATCAGGATAATAATGTCAACATTATCTGTCCACGTGGGGTAATACAGAGGTCAAAGAGGGGTCCATTAAACAAAGAACAATGATGACAAGACTAAGTGTCATAGTAATGACAGATGTAAATGTGTAATTTCACAGAAGTTAATTTTACACACACATGGTTCCCAAAGTGGGGGGCAGGGCCCTCTAAGAGAGCGTGGCATTATTGCAGTGGGGTCACTGCAAAGCCAAATAAATTCCAGTTTTAATATTTTCTTAATAAATTCTGAGGACAAATAAAACTGACTACAAGACCCTAGTAACTATTCATGCAGTTTAGGCTGGTTTTCCCACATGGTACCCCAGTACCTGGTAATAGCTTCATCTTGAGTAATGATTTAAAAAAGCAAACTGAATCCAGTGGTGCTTTGGCCCAGAGGTAATGTCTCTGTCATTGGTGTGGAACCGCAGGGTTCACCTCCTGGGCAAGTTTGAATCCCGATTAGGGCGGTTGGTACCTTCCAGTGGACTCACCACCTACAGGAAGGTTCAGGGGGGTTGGTATGGTGCAGTGTGATTTTGGTGGCGGTCATGGAGACTGCTCGCGGGGAGCCGGTAACAGATAGGCGGATGAAAATGGATGGATGGATGGATGGATGGACAACTGAATCCACTTTACTTTTGTTCCTCATGTGATTACTCATAGACAGGTTACAAAAGTTGTTGGTTCTGGTTCTCTTCTCTCTGTGACTATGGCTATGACTATGACTACTATGACTATGGCTGTGGTTTGTTAGGAATAAATCACTAACAGACAATTACATGGCTGTTTATGTTTGGCCGATTAAACTTTAACAAGTTAATGACCTATATGACCGTTACGAAGTTGTTAACACTAAAGTTGTTAACACTAAAGCCACCAAGCCACCTCAGCTGACTCCTCTCGATGTGGAGGAGCAGCGGCTCTACTTTGAGCTCCTCTCGTGTGACAGAGCTCCTCACCCTATCTCAAAAGGAGCGCTCTGCCACCCTGCGGAGAAAGCTCATTTGAGCCGCTTGTATCCGGGATCTCATTCTTTCGGTCATGACCCAAAGCTCATGGCCATAGGTGAGGGTAGGAACGTAGATTGACCGGTAAATCGAGAGCTTCACCTTTCGGCTCAGCTCATTCTTCACCACAACAATACCGATACAGCGACCGCATTACTGGGGCCGCTGCACCGATCCGCCTGTCAATCTCACGCTCCATCCCACCCTCACTCGTGAACAAGACCCCAATATACTTAAACTCCTCCACCTGAGGCAGGACTTCCTCCCCAACCCGGAGGGTGCAAACCACCTTTTTCCGGT